ACAACTACAAGCAATCACCAAAGCACAGCAGGGATCCGAAGATGTGTCGGTGGTATGATGTTGAACCGTATTACTGGGACTGTCCAAGCTGTAAGAAGGAATATCAGAAGAGCAATCCTCACCACACCAAGATATCTGGCCAATGCAGATTCGCCGAAAAATGGAAGCTGCCAGATAACTTTGGCCAGCCGCGCCCGGCGGGGCAAGCCGCTCCTGCGGCGCCAGCCGCGGAAGCGGCTCCAGCCGCAGAAGCGGCGCCAGCCGCAAAAGCGGCGCCGGCCGCGAGAGCGCGCATACGCGCGCCTAGGCCGCCACGGCCTGGTGAGGGCGATCCAACCGCAGGCGCCAGCAGCCATGACATCACCAGAGCCGACGGGGCTAATGGTGGCAACAGTGGCGCTGGCAGCTCTGACGATCACCGTAGACTGCCACAAGTTGCAGCAAGGCGCGGACGCATGGAGGGAGGAGATCCTCCACCACCGCCGCAGCCTCAAGCAGAGCCGAGGCCAAGGCCAAGGCTCCCTGATTGGACTCGCTTCGACGTTCAGCTCAGCCTCCAAAACCTGCGCAGCTTCGACCCAGCTGTAGTGCAGCGAGAACTCCGCAAACTCCACCTGAGATGGTTTCATGCCAAGGAGCCAAAAATGCGGATGATTCTAACCAAGGTTGGTCTGGGTGAAACCCGTTTGAGTCTGATCAAAGGCATTTGTGACTCGTGTAGAGAATGTCGAGCCTGGGACAAACCAGGCAACACGGTGATGCCTTCTGTGTCACTGCCAGGACGTTTCAACGAGGAAGTCGAATGTGATCTTTTCTTTTACAAACAGGAACATATTGTTTTTCACATCATCGACCGTTGTATTCGCTGGGCAGCTGGCACAGAGATTCCTGATAAAGCCATGCATACTGTTCTCGATGCCTATCATACGACTTGGATGCAACATGGCCCTGCTAAAATCTTATACTCCGATGGGGAAGGAGCACTGAATAATGATACAGCAAAGGCCATCCTTAAGGCTAAGGGAACAGAGCTTCGTATTCGAGCGCGTGGCCAACACGCTACAACTATCGAAGCTAGGAACGGCATCCTGCGACACCTCTTACACGTGATGGGAGAAGAATTGAATAGATTAAATATTCCTCTCAATTTCACTCGTCTCTTACATGAAGCCTTGTTTGCCAGCAACGCATTTACCTTCTACAATGAAGTGTCTCCGTACAATGCGCTGTATGGCAGACAACCAGCTATGCTTCCCGATTTCCCTGTCTTGGATCATGATCAGTCCGCTGAATCATCAGATCACTCAAGGGAGGAAACAATCAGGAGGGTTAGTCTGGAGGCAATCACGCAGGCCACTGCGGTTGCCAAGACGAACAGGGCTCTCCGTACGAAGACTACTGCTACGGGTGAATTTCACTACAAAGAGGGAGATCTCGTGGACTATCATCGCCCGACCACCACGAAAGACGACTGGGGTGGATGGAGTGGTCCATACCCGGTCATCCGCAACGAACCTGACCGAGGCCAGGTCATCGTGAAGGTCGGCAGTCGCGAAGTGCGAGTACAGTATCCTGACACACGACACACACTGTACATCGAAGCACTTATGGTCCGCGAGATAGGATCGGACAATACGGCCCTTCGGACAGTATTGGCCTTTATTGCCGGTCTGCCAGCGGGGAAACCCGCCATGACTTTCGGATATCTACCAGCGAAACAGGGTCGGCTGCAGATGACTGCTGCGAGCCGACTTTCGCCTAAGGTGCACTTGGCTCTTCAGTACCTCATACGCAACTACTTTCGTATTGAAAACGTTGTTGCTGTACGACTTGCCAAGAGCCTGACGAAGTTGCCTGCTGCACCCTATGCAGACAGCTGTACACTAGTGCACTATGATAACGATGTGACCCCTGGTTTTCATTACTATGAAGCTGATGGCACTGCCTTGAACATCTATGACATCACAGGATCTACACACTCACGCATCATCCAGTGTCTTAAATCCAGGAAGCCGTCTGCTGGATTTGACCAAGACCTCACTAAGTTTGAGGAACTCGCTGATGGTCCACCACCAAGCGAATCACCTCCAGCAGCTGCTCCTGAGGAGCCTCCTACGGATAACGATGGTCGGCTCCCGACCATCATAGAGGAAACAGAAGAAGATCTGGATGCTTTTGTCTTGAAGTCGTGGTATGCTGAACTGATGGATGACAGAACACTCCTTGAAGCTGACACAGAGGAAGTCATGCATACAGTTCCCACATACATGACAGACACACAGTGTGTGTTAGTCTCTACGACCTGTGAAGATGTGCAAGGCCACTTGCCGGAGCGGGGTCACCCGCCAGGATACGACATGGACACTTCTTACTACGTTCCTTTATGCTCCACGGATCCGGATAGCAAATATGATCTGGACTCCGATGAGCACGGGAAGTACATCGAGCTCTGCTTCACTGCAGACATGTCCAAAGTCGTCCTGTCCGAGCAGCAACACCGATTGTTGGATGACAGCAGCGTCACAACTATGCGAGTATACGTTAGCGCTGCCTCCAAACGTGCCGTGGTCGTCAAGGAAGACGATCTACTCACGAAGGCCGACATCCAAGCAAATCCGGTCAAAGTTTCCAAAGCCCTCTACACAGAATTGAAGACTTGGCTTGACAACAAATGCTTCCAGATGACTGACTTAAGCAAGGCGTCTAACATCATGACGTCACGCTACGTATACAAATGGAAGTTTGTCAAGAACGAAAAGGGCGAAATGGAAAGGACGATCAGGTTACGCTTGGTACTCCGTGGCTTCATGGACCTTGAAGCCTTTGATGTCGAAACCTTCTCTGGCACGGCAAGGAGGTCAAGCCAGAGACTGCTCGCAAGTTCTGCTGCATGCAACAAAGCTTGGATCATCGCTTCCCTGGACATCAACATGGCTTTCTTGAAGGGACTGACCTATGGCGAGCTCGCCGCGGCAACGGGCGAGAAAGAGCGTGTGGTGTGCTTCACACTACCACCTGGGTCAGCAGCTGTCCTTCGCACACTGCCAGGCTTTGAGTCATATGACGAATCAAAGCATTGTCTCCGGTGTCTGAAACCGGGGACGGGCACGAAGGATGCTCCCAGGGCATTCTCGCTGAAGCTCAGGTCCATCACTAGGAGCTTTGGGCTACAGCCTACTTCATACGACGAAGAGTTCGAGATGAGCCCAAACCTCTTGACAGCCAAGCACGTTGATGACATCAATATGACTGGGAAGGAAGAGGCTATTGACAAGTATGTCAAGTGTGTTGAAGATACGTTTGGGAAGTGCAAACTGAACAAGCACACATACACAAACTGTGCCGTTCGGTACAACAAGACCGATGATGGGAGCGTCACTCTCGATCAGGACGAATACATCAAACAGCTTCGTCCTATCACACATCCAGAACTCACAGGAGCTGATCCTGAGAGCAAAGCGACAAAGACGATTTCTGATATGTTCGTCAGTCTTCGTGGCGCTCTAGCCTATGCGTTGATCACGCAGGTATGGCTGATGGTCTATGTTGTCTCACTACAACGTATCCAGGAACCGACAAACATCCAGGTACGACGACTAAACGCGGTTACCAGAAAGCTACAGGCAGGTCCGAAGAAGATCGTGTATCAAGCTATGACCCCAACAGGAGAAGTCGACCTGCATAGCGATTCTGGCTATCGTCGTCTCAACGGAGATGAAGACGACGAAGTCAAAGGCTATGGTATCCGCGGGGCTAACCTGCTGAGGCGTGGCCACACGCAAGCGGGGAAACCCGTCGTGCACCTGGTGGACGCATACTGCAAGTCTCATCGACTGCAGGTGCGTTCGAGCTACTCTGCGGAAACACTGGCAGCAGCCCACAACTTGGAAGACTGCTACCCGACCATTGTAACGCTCCACGAGCTACACTCGGGACCATTGACCCCCACACAGTTAAAGAACATATTGGAAATGGGTGGTCTATGTATCAAAGTCACTCTGACTATTGATGCCGAGTCTGTCTTCAAGTCTTTGTCTAGCAAAGATCTGAAGAAGCCCACAGAATGTACTCTGCTTGGGCACATCAGCTGGATCCGCCAGATGATGGAACGCGGAATCGTGGAAAGCGTCCAATGGTGTGACACGCGGGATATGACTGCCGATGGTCATACCAAAGGTAGTATTGACCGCGCGTTGCTCCTACAAGTAATGGCCGGCCAGCAATCCTTCAAGCACGAGCTGAAGAAACATACGCCGTATAGGGCGGGCAGGTCGTCTCAGGACGGCCCTGCCTCCCGAGCCAGCGGGGAAACCCGCGGGCAGGTGCGCTTTAGTAGCGAGGAAACTCGCCGGTAGCGAGGCTACTCGCGCGCCCTTTCCTTGTAGGCAGCCGCTGCTGCTTAGCACTGTTTTTTCCGCATAATGTAGAAGTGCGGTACCTGCTCGTCTCCTCCCCCTCCGACTTTAAACGGAGAAGGTTAAAGGCGAGGTATAAATCGAGCATGTACCGCTGCCGTGCCTGGCTCAAGCCGGGCCCGGCCAAATATATGACTGTGCCTCACTGAGGCGCACGACTTGCATCAGAGATCGGAAAATACCTTTTCCATTGACGATGCCCATCCTATCCTTTACTCCAGATCCCATGCTTCGTCTTGCACTCTTGCTCATGCGATATGAGCCAAAGCCTGGGATATGGCAACGCTTAAAGCGTAACACATACCTAAGCTTACCAGCTTGTTTTCGACTACGCGCCCCAGCAGGCACGCGCCGAGTCCCACAGATCCGGCGATCTGGGTCGCCCGGGCCCCAGAGAGAATCCTCTGGATTGAGGGCTGAGGCTGGAGGGATGGGGCTGAAGTCGGACCTGTTCCTCTTATACAGGAGGAGTAGTCACAAGTAGTCCACGAGTAATCTGGGGACCATTTTTTTGAGCATTTTTAAGTTTTCGCCCGACCTAAGATTAGGCCAAGGACCTGAGGAGTTTCCAACTCGTGCCTCGAGGGCACGGTGGCGGATCTCGTCCACACGCCCGCCTCGTCAGACGTGGGAGGACGTTCGCGCGGCGATGGTCTGGCGTGATGCCGACGTGCATTCGACCTGATTCTGACGAACGTCCGACGTGAATCCGCCGGGGATCCGACGTGCATGGGGTCGCGCGAGGTCTCCGAAATGGTGGACTCCTGAGGGAACATACTTCTTCGACATTGTCGTCGAATTTCCAGAAGTTGATTCCCATTCGAGTCCCACAGTGGTTTCCATCAGCCGCGTATCGTGGAGAGCGCTCCGTGGGTGCCAGGATCGTTCCGAAATTCCGAAATGTCCGAAGTCCAACGGTTGGGGAGAATGTGCTCTCGGGTTAGGCTGGGGGTAGCGCATCGAGCCCCTATCGCCTATTGCTCGCCGATTTTGGTTCGATGGCCCGCCCTGCCTAAGAGCGTGCGGTTTCACAATCGGGGGGCTATCGCCGCCAACCTGTTGGCGATGTACCAGGAGGGAAAGAAACACACAGACACAAGTAATCGTCGACTCCCAGGAGAATGCGGGAAAATATAGGAAGTGGGGGGACGACGAAAACCCATGACATACGGAAACATGTAGGGAACCCTGTTATTTGTGTCTGTTTCTTTGTGTGTCCCTGGGCGCCTTCAATGTAGCGCCGATTCCAGGTTCATGTTCCCCCCCCCTTGGTTGGTCCCCCCCAAGTCGTCCCGACTCACCGTCTTCCTTCTGCCCCCTCCTCCACTCCCCTCCGACCTTGCCCCGGGGGTGTATGTCGGCTTCAATGTTCGACTGCGGGGGTTCCGATTGGGCCAAATGGAGCCCTACTCGTCGATAGATCGTCGGGGATATGCTGTGTGTGTGGGGAGGGGGGCGCCGGGCCCCGAGGCCTGTCAGGGTAGTCCCCCCGGGAGCCACCCCTGAGCTTCTCCCTCCGTCTCTGAGCGGCCGGATGTTTTGGAAAACTCTGGGATTGGGGGCGCAGAGCCGCCTGCTGTGCCTCCACCTCCTCACCGGTGCTCCCTCGTCACCCATGCGATGCTCCCTCCTCCTCCCTCCTGCCCCTGCCCCCTTCAGGCAGCCCGAAGCCTTGCCATATCCTCCCCTCCCCTGCCTCCTTCTCCTCCCCCCCTCCTCCTCCTCCTCCTCCTCTCCTCCTCCTCCTCCTCCTCCTCCTCCTCCTCCTCCTCCTCCCCTTCTTCCTCCCCTTCCCTCCCCTCCTGCCTCCCTCCTCCTCCTCCTCCTCCTCCTCCTCCTCCTCCTCCTCCTCCTCTCTGCCTCCCCTCCTCCTCCCCCACCCCCCGCGCGACGCGAGGTGGTGGCAACCCGCGCGCCAGCCGTCGGCGCAAGGACGCACCCGTCGGGCGCGGCGCGGCGCGCGCGCCGTGGCGCAGTGCCGTCTCTCGCTGGAGCTCGGGCGCACGACGGGTGCGTCCGTGTCGGGCCGGGCGAAAAGGGGGGATTGGGAAAGGGGGGGTTACGAAATTTGCTGCATGCAGCTGGTTTCGGCCCCACCGAGGGGCCCATTCCTCGATACATAGCTCCATCCGGCGCCGGGAGGCGCCGGGAAAATCAGCTACGTGAGCTGATTCTCAAACCCCCCCCTTTGCTATCCCCCCCTTTCGCCCGACCCGACCGTGGTGCGCGCGCAGGCTGCAGGCGCGCATCGAGAGCTCAAGTGTCTCTTCGGTCCTGCAGCTCTCCCCTCCCCCTCCCCTCCTACCCTCCCCCTCCCCCTCCCCCTCCGCCTCCGCCTCCTCCTCCGCCTCCTCCTCCTCCGCCTCCTCCTCCGCATCAAGAACCCACATGCACGTACACAGGAGGCGCGCAGTACATGGTACCCTGGGTGTCTTCGATCCGCGCGCTGCGCGGTGACTCCCCGCGACCGTGAAGACGGTACTGCGTTCATGGTGCCCCAAGCTTCTTCATCAGGTGCACCTCGCGCGCGGCTATGCAGGGTTGGGCTTCTTGCGATGGCTTCTTGCGACTATGCCCGCACCGTATGTCTGCGCGCAAAACTTCTCAGAGGAGGGAGATGTACCGTGACTTAACGCCACCGGTAGCGAGATTGGTTTCGTCTGCTTGGGCCTCCAGGAGGCCCTTGTCGCTACGGCTGGATTCGCCCCGAAATCCCGGTCAGAATGCACTGTGGAGAGGTCCGCGGATTGTTGCCTGTCGGTTTCCCCAATGTTTGGCGCTTCGCGTATCCCCACCTGCCTCGCGGTTCCTCATCCTGGGCTAGCTGCCGTCCTGGCTTCTTTGTCCAGCATTCCGAGCGCGCGGATGGTCCTTGGTCGGCTTCCGCTCATTCGAGGTACTCGTACGCTCGTCATCCCTGGTGTCAGCCCTGTGCGATGTGCCCTGGTGGGCCCGTGCTGGGTCAACCTGACACCCTTTCTCGCACAGGTACGTGGTGACCCGCGCCATTTTGGCTTGCGTCGCGGCCATGCCGCTTCCCCGCACTCGTGCGTACTGCTGCCAGGGGTCATCGGCTTCCGCCACCCTGGGAGTTGCAGCCTGCCAACGCTCTCGCCTCTGGCAACAATTCCTTGGCCGTCGGTCCTTTGGACCCTCCTGGTTCTCGCGCTTCGCGTCGTCCGCTTTGCATTTCTCTTTCCTACCTCGACCAGCTTTTCGTTGGCCACGGCCACCCTGGTGCCCACGCAGTCGTCTGAGGTACGGTATCACGTTTTCCTCTCGGAGTTGTCCCTGGCCGTCGTTGACTTTCCGACGTTTGGCGCCTCCGACGGACTTGCAGCTGTGCACGCTGGCAGTTCCCCTCAGTCTCAGTCCCCTCAGCCACCCATCTGAGGCCTCGGCCGTGCTTAGCTGTCGCCTCGCGCGTTGCTCTGTTTGTTTTTCCCGCGCTTGCTTTGCCGAATTTGTCTTTGCGTAGCCCGCTTTGACCTGACTCGCCGCCGGCGCGCTCGCCCGCGGCCGCTGATTAAAAAAATATCCCCACCTGCCCATCCAGAAACGATATCCAAGGGATTTGGCTTGAAATGAGGGGAATCCAAGGGCCCAAAGGCATTCTTGAGTGTTCCACTGGGGCCAAGATCTTTTTGAGGGTCCGCCTCAAGGGGAGCATTCGCACCCACGCAAATGTGATTCGTCGTCCTCCTCCTCCTCCTCCTTCTCCTCCTCCCCTTCCTCCTCCTCTTTTCTCTCCTTCCATCAACATCCCCCTGTTTCCCCCTGTCTGCCCTCCTTCTCCTGGTCCTCCTCCTCCTCTTTCCCTTTTTTCTATCCTCGTCCTCATTCCGCGACCTCGCGACGGCAGTGTAACATTTCCCCTCTAATGTTCGTCGGGCGAGATATTGTTGGTGGAGTATTTGTTTGGGGCTTCATGCCACATGGGCTGTTCCTCACGCAGGATAATGTTTGAGCACAGTCGTAAGAGGATTGAAATGCAAATCTCGATGGGTGTTTTCAAAGTCCTGGTTGTTTTACTCTTTTTGATGGGCTTCATTAAGCATTATGTGCAATCTTGAGCGGAGCACGCAGCGACATAATAATACTGTTCCACTAATGTTCGGCGGGCGAGTCATTGTTGGTCGGCTCTGTGTCCCGGGTGGTAATACAACATGGGGATCACTGCCACCTGGGCGACCTACCCCACGGGCGAGAGAACTGTTGTGCACAATGTTAAGAGGATTCTAGTGCAAACCTCGACGGGTGCTTATTTAGTGTTTGTTTTTTGCTTACATATCACGATGTTTGTTGCTTGCATTACTCTTGTGGGCGCTTGTGGGCTTTATAAACTTTGGGTGGCGCTTGCGGCGGTAGGGTCGTAGTTATCCCCGAATGTTCGTCGGGCGCGATCTTGTTGGTCGTTTATGTCTCCGGGGGAATATGCAATTTGGGCTACCCCATGCATGAACGACTTGTTGGAGACAGCCAGAAGAATATTGCAACACAACCTCGATGACTTTCTTCAGGTGTCGGTAGTTTGCATGCAGATGCCATGTTTTTCGTCTCCACCAGTAGTTGTAGTCGTTAACGTACTCGTAGTCGTAATCGTAGCCGTGGTCGCTAATTACTTGTAGTCGTAGTCGTAGCCGTAGTCGCATCGTGGTCGTAGTCGTAATCGTCGTCGTCGTCGTTGTTGTTAAGCGGCGGCTGCCGCCGCGGAGAAATAGTTATTTACCCCTTGTTGGTGGGGTCCCATTCTGCCAATCAGGTCGCCCAACAGATAATTGCTGTCCAACCATGTGTGTGGGGGGGTGTTCTAAAGACCTAGCGGGGGTATACACACAAGCACACCCCAGGACAAACAACAACATTACCTAGAGCAATCGTATCTCTTCCATGTTCCCAAAGCAAACCCCTTGTGAAACGCGTTCCTTCTTCCCGTTTTGTAGGTATCCCCCCGCATTTCCCGCGAGGGAGCGTCACGATGGTGGTGTATACAGAAGCACACTCTTGGCACAGACAGCATTATTTTGAGCAACGGCGCCGCTGCCAGATGCAACTTGACAGGTCAACGCCTGGTGCGCCTGATGCGATGCCTCTTTGAAGATGCTTTCTCTTCCTTGGCGCTGTCCTGAGTTTGGCCTCCTCTGGGGGGTGTTACGAGTGGAACAATGTGGTCGGCGCTCTTTGGATGCGACCAGGTATACTGAGGACACCTGTCTAGAAGATGCACACCGCCGCATGAACGTGTCCCCTCCCCCGGGGTGTGATGGGAAGGAAGGCCCAGGAGAAGAGAGGAGGGATGGGGGGGCAGGGAAGGAGGAGGGGGGGAGGAGAAGGCGAGTGCATGGGGAGGGGGAGAGGGAGGGGGAGGAAGGGGATGAGGCAGCGGAAAATAACTGCGCGGCCTCGACGGGTCCTGTCATCTCTCCCTGCACGACGTCCGCTCTCCCCTTCCGACCACCTCCCCACCTGCTTCAGCCTCCTGCCCGCACGGAGGAACCCTGCTGCACCGCTTGTCGTGGCGCAGGTGGAGCGACGCGGGCAAGCGCTCTGGAACACTTGCGAAGGAGCGGGGGGGACATGTGAGCGACGCAAGAAAACGGGGTCGTCTGCGCCGACATTGGAGCGTAAGCTGCCCACGTAAGGTCGCGAGTTAGCGCCCTCGT